GCTAGAAGGCCTATATTAAGAAATTCACTGTACTGCAACATTTAATTATAGTAGATGTGACAAATGCCATGAAAGAGGAAGCACCTTGGGTGTCTCACCTAGGTTTCAGCGCTCAGGAAACCATTCTTGGAAAAAGTGACTTCCAAGCTAGGACCTGAAGGGTAAATATTTATCACCTAAAATTACAGAGTGAAGGATGGCCATTGTAAGCAGAAGAACAAAATTAAACCTCTTATCTGACCACAAGCTCCTGCTTTTATAGCTTAGCTGCTTAGGTCCCTCAGGGAGGTAATTCTCAAACTTCATCTAAATCTCCAATTAATTGATCCTTCCATTTTCTGTCCGTCTGCACCCCTTATCCCGTTTAGAATATACGTCATGGTTCATCATTATAATCTCACCCATGAAAACAATATTCTCTTGTCCTTCCCTTCATTTAATTCTTCTGGCAAAACCCTTATTCAGGATGAACCTCACCCTCTGCTCTTTTGGCACCTGCACCTATATAACTTAACTTTGTTGGAAAAAATCCTAAACACATTTATTACACTATAAAATGAAAAGGGCCAATCTTTTGAATAATCACTCAACATGAGCCTAAGGTCCTTTAGATCCTCATTTTCTCTAGAAGCTACTTTTTAACTTTCTTCAGGGATAGTTCCTCAAACTCTCTACGTTCTTTCTTTCTTACTTCTAACTGACGACTGCAAGTAAGGTCAGTTTAGCATCTAATATGCCCACTTCTTTTCCTCCTTCATGATCAGACTCTAGTTCTAATCATCATTTCTTCCTGAGTTATTTCCCTATTTCCTATGTTGTGTCTTTCCAATCTCTGCTCCATTCAGCAGCAAAAAGTGACACTGCTGTACTTAAAATTCTTCGGTGACTTTAATTGTACGTGGAATAAAATCCAAACCTTACCATGGCCTACAGAAGTCCTTGATCTGGGCTCTGCTGACATTGCCAGTGGCAACACTCACCTCTTCCTACCTTCTTTTTACACAGCTAGCTTCTTAATTTTCAAGTTTCAAAGTATGTTACCTCCTGAAATCTTACAGACCATCTATCTTAAATAGTCATTGTGACTTTCCCCTGCCCTCCAACCTTAAAAGGAGTTCTGATAGCATACTGCCTAAGGCACT